GTGTACACATGATTCCCGAAAGAACTGATTCCCGTTGATTCCCGTGATTCCTGGTGATTCCCGTTGATTCCCGTGATTCCCGTTGATTCCCGTGATTCCCGCTGATTCCTCGGATTCCCGTTGATTCCCAGCGATTCCTGGTGATTCCCGGCGATTCCCTGTGTTTTTTCGCTGATTCCCCTTGATTCCCGATGATTCCCGGTGATTCCCATCGATTCCCTTGATTCTCATTGCTTCTAAAAAGTCAAATTTTTCATTTCCCCTGTAAAAATCGGGTAAGCGCGGAACGAGTGCGGAACGAGTGCGCAACGAGTGCGCGACGGGTGCGCTGGGGGTGCGTGCCGAGTGGTGGAGGCGGGCGAGAAATGTTAAATGGTAACTATTGCTTCGGGTTCCTCTTGACAAAAGAAAACGAAAATATTTTATGCCCGAAGATGATCGGAATCGAAATGGCAGAGTTATTCCTCCTCAAATTGACAATCTGGTCGTTTTGGAGATTTTTGTCAGTTTGAGGGCTAATAACTTTTCCATTTCGACTCTGATCGTCTCTGAGTATAAGACATTTTCTATTCAATTTGTAAAGAGGAATCCAAATGTGGTACTGAAAGTTGAATTTTGTAACTTCTGAACAAAACAAAGTTTTCAAATTTTAAATAGAATAGTGTTTACTTGTGCATATGTTTGGAAGTCACCTAATCTCTCAATAGGACATGTCAAAACGTTTATTAGACACACAACTTAATTTCACTATAGCCATGGACTTGCAAAGGACTGAACAATATTAGAGCCAATATCGCAAACTCAGGTTGGATAGACCCATCGAAATCAGATCATGATATATACAACCGCTAGCTATGTCTAGAGTCGTATTATGCTGAGTGATACTCAAATAAAATGGTGTGAGCTTTAAAATTACATTTGTTGGTATGATATATTACATAAATTTTAATTAACACACTTCAGTGACAGTGATCTTAAAGACCCAAAAGATAGATTTGATAAAAATGAATAAAAGAGTGCCAATTTACCTATAAATACCCAAATAGTTTACTAGGTGCATTTAAGCTTCATTCTATGACAAAAGATTCTCCAAAATTTCCAGTTAATTATTTCCTGGGACTCGTTACTCTTATAAAGAATTGGATTTGTTTATCAAATAAATTGAGCAACTGTCAAACAAGTCCAATTATGTGTAAGTGTTACGAGTCCAAGGAGTTAGAAAGTTTGGAGAATCTCTTGTTATAGAATGAAGTTTAAATGCATTCAATAAATTATTTGGGTGTTAATAAGTAAATTATAACTGCAGCTTGACCTAGTTGAAAATATGAAATTATGCTTTACTTTAGCGGATTTGAGAAAAGTATATATCATGATCTGATTTTGATGGGCCTATCCTACCTGAGTTTGCGATATTGGCTCTAATATTGCAGGGCTACCCCACAAGGCCCTTCGGCCTCAAAGTTCCCCCTCAGCTTTCGTACGGCTCAAATAGCTACAACAGTCCACGACTATCCGCCTGCCGGACGGTATTGAGAGGGG